ATCGACAAAAAAAACATATTGATATTGAACGTAGTTTAACAACGTACAAATAAGATACCATAATATTATAAACCAAAATGTTGAAATGAAACGTATATTTAAAACAATACATAAGCGTATTCTCAACGTATAATGTCAACGTTGCAATAACATTTACTAAATTATTTGAATTATATGTAGTTTTCTTACTTCTAATCAATCCCTCGATGAATTCAGGTAAATCTAACGTTGATTTTCAACGTATAAATATGATAATATTATATAATCACCTGAAACGTTCAACTAAAACGTATAACTGCAGCTATTGGTGTACGTATAATTAAAGTGGAATTTCAACGTAAACGTAGAATTCACGAAATCATTCAAATTGTATGTAGCAACCCAACCGTCTACGTAACGTAATTTTTCAATGTATAATTACAACATTATCATGTTATCATCCATAACGTTGATCTGGAACGTAGATATAAGAACATACGCGTACGTATGATCAACGTGAAATTGCTACAGAAAAATTGAATATTGCTTCAAGTCATGTTCCAACGTATAAATACGATATTAAATAAACGTTGAACAAAAACGTATGTATAAATCTATTCCTACAAGTATAAATCAACGTAAAATGTGAACGTAAAAATGTTATTTATGAAATCATGCGAGTTATATGTGACATTCTCTCCATTTATTTAACGTTGTTTTTCAACTTATAATCAACTTGAAATTATAGCGTGAAATTTTAGATGATGAAATCCTCAGAATTATATGTTGTATTATTTTCTTTTATTAAACGTTGTTTTTCAACGTCAAATTTCAACGTTAGAATAAAATTCATTAAATCATTCAAATTATATGTAGCAACCCTACAATTTTTTAACGTTGTTCTTGAACATATATCTACTATATAATTATGTTATCAACCGAAACGTTGAACAAAAACGTATGTATAAATATATTCCTGTAAGTATAAATCAACGTAAAATGTGAACGTAGAAATGTTATTTATGAAATCATGCGAGTTATATGTGGCATTCTTTCCATTTATTTAACGTTGTTTTTCAACTTATAATCAACGTGGAATTAAAACGTTAAATTTTAGATGACGGAATCTTCAGAATTATATGTTGCATTATTTCGTTTTCTGAAACGTTGCATTTCAACGTAAAATTTCAACATTAGAATAAAATTCATTAAATCATTCAAATTATATGTAGCAACCCTACATTTTTTTAACGTTGTTTTTGACATATAACTACTATATAATTATGTTATCAACCGAAACGTTGAACAAAAACGTATGTATAAATTTATTCCTATAAGTATAAATCAACGTAAAATGTCAACGTAAAAATGTAATTCGCGAAATCATGCGAGATATATGTGGCTTTCTTCCCATCTATTCATCGTTGTTTTTCAACTTATAATAAACGAGAAATTATAACACAAAATTTAAGATAATAAAATCATTATAATTAAATATTGCATTATTTCCTTATATTAAACGTTGCTTTTCAACGTTAGAATAAAATTCATCAAATCATTCAAATTATATGTAGCAACCTTAAATGTTTTTTTACGTTATTCTTGAACATATTACTACTATATAATTATGTTATCAACGGAAACGTTGAACTACAACGTATATATAAAAATATACGTAAACCTGTAATCAACTTCGAAATTCAACGTAAAAATATGATGGATTAAATGATTCAAATTATATGCAGTATTCTTACATTTTAATAAACGTTGTTTTTGCAACGCAGAATCAATGTGAAATTTCAACGTGAAAATGAGATATATTAAATCATTCAAATTATATGTAGCATTCTTGCCTCTTATTAAACGTTATTTATCATCGTAAAAATTGAATTTAATTAATCATCTAAATTATATGCTGCCTAGTCACCTTTTATCAAACGTATTATTCCAACCTTTAATTGAATGTTAATTTTCTACGTGAAAATATAATTTATCAGTCAATGTTAGAATAAAATTCATTAAATCATTCAAATTATATGTAGCAACACTACATGTTTTTTAACGTTGTTTTCGAACGTATGACTACTATATAATTATGTTATCAACCGAAACGTTGAACTACAACGTAAAATTATGATGTATTAAATGATTCAAATTATATGCATCATTCTTACATTTTAATAAACCTTGTTTCTGCAACGCAGAATCAACGTGAAATTTCAACGTGAAAATGGGATTTATCTAATCATTCAAATTATATGTAGCATTCTTGCTCGTCTACGTATAATTAACGTTAATCTAAAAGTAATGTAATGTATTCAATCATTCAAATTATATTTGGTAGCCTTGCCTTTCATCTATTTTCTTTCTTACAACCTTCGAAAACCGGTAAAAACGACGGCACTGAATTGCCATCCCCGAGCAGTTTTTTTCAACACCTATTTTATAAATAAAAAACAGATATTTTATAAATATTTTATAAATAAAAAATTTTACAGGCTACTTTTGGGCCAGCATTTTGTTCAAATGATTTTTTTCAGGACCTTTAAAAACTCAACACAACTAACTATTAAAATATTCATAGTTAGAAAAAACAATAGGAACTAGTAATAAATAACCTCTTTTATGGTTGATTCAACCATCAGCAAAATACAAAAAGTGAAATTATCATTATTTTCCTGTCCAAACATTTCCAGCATGTCCCATTTTTCATTAACACATCTTGTAAGTTGTGAAAAATTATATTTTATACAACCGAGTAGGATTGGTTGACAAAATATTATTTTCAATGCCAAAATAGGTAGTGCATATTCCCATTTTCTAATTCAATAGTTTTGGTTTGTCCAGGAGTTCTCATAAGAATTCTATAATCTTTAGGCAGCAAAAATAAAAACAGCATTCAGTATACATAAAGGAAATTTGTAATTGCAAGTTAAATTATATTCATTAACCCATTATCTGAGCTTCTGCTTTATCTCTATAGAAACATCAAAGGTAATATCTACACTGTGTCCATAAAGTCACCCCCCCTGGTTATTTTTCGAACGACTGGGATTTTTTTTTTCAAAATATTTTTGGTCACATGGTAGTTTAGGTACTACATTTTGACACCGATAAGAAATATGTATCTTTCAAAATGGCGGCTGGACGCCATTTTGAAAGTTTCTTTCAAATGAAATGGGGGGTCAAATGATACCTCATTTTGAAGGTCTTCTAATTCTCAATTGAACCCTAGAATTTCAGATTAAAATATTCATCCAAAACAAAATGGCGGATGATAATGTTTGAAATCTCAGCTCTCAGATACATGGCTATCAACGAAATTTCGTGTAATCTTCAATTTTTTATTGCCTCTATAAGCATCCAGAAGTGTTCTCCATCCAGAAAAATGTCGAAAGGGGGCCATCTTGGAGAATATTCAAATAAGATGATAGTCGATGATATACCTACTTTATATCCAATGTCTGAAAATTCTCCAAGATGGCCCCCTTCCGACATTTTTCTGGATAGAGAACACTTCTAGATGCTAATAGAGGCAATAAAAAATTGAAGATTACACGAGATTTCGTTGATAGCCATGTATCTGAGAGCTGAGATTTCAAACATTATCATCCGCCATTTTGTTTTGGATGAATATTTTTATCTGAAAATCTGGGGTTGTATAGAGAATTGGGAGACCTTCAAAATGAGGTATCATTTGACCCCCCATTCTATTTAAAAAAAAACTTTCGAAATGGCGCTCAGCCGCCATTTTGAAAGATACATATTTTTTATCGGTGTCAAAATGTAGTACCTAAACTACCATGTGACCAAAAAAATTTTGAAAAAAAAATTCTCAGCCGTTCAAAAAATAACCAGGGGGGGTGACTTTATGGACACAGTGTATATTATTCTCAGGACAATTCGTATGATCAAAATTATGAACGTCGAAAATTCCATCAGTTCCTAAATTCCCTCGAGCATCATTTTACTGAATTATATAAATTCTTTTGTTCTGGATTTGCAGTTGAGTTTTGATTATGGAATTCTGAAATATCCTGAATTTTCCTGCAATTTTCTTCTGAGATAATTCATGTAATTTTCAAATGGAAAACAGGAAAATACATTTATAGTGCCATACATTTTCACATCATCAACCAAGTGAACAGGGTGTCCCAAATTCGAGGGGTATCATTGGGATCTTGGTAACCATAACAGATAAAAAATCGGTTGAATTAGGGCAAAGTTGCGCAATTTGATGCTGATCAAAATGCCGCCTCAAAAATTTGGAAATTCCGAATACTTCCGAAGATATTTGGAAAAACCGAATGTTCATAGATTCTGTATTATTATTGCCACTTTTCCGCTCTATCCAATGATACTAATAGATTTGTGATCCGACGTTTCGTCTTTGAGGAGCCCCATCATCAACTCTGTTTTTTTTTAAGTTCGATAAATTTTTTTTGTCCTAAAAAACTATTCAATTCTAAATCTAATGATATACTTCACCTTACAATAATCCGACGTTTCGGACCAAAAAATCATCATCAGTGTTATTCGATGATGTACGAGAAAACGAAACGTCGGATCAAAAATCTGAAGAGGGCATCTTGCACAAAAGGAAAAATTGCTGCGAAAATGTCAAATTCATTCTGGTTTCTCTATTCAAGTTTCCTATAAAAAGTTACCTATTCTCGAAGTTTCTAATTCCAAGAAATGTTTTTTTTTTCTGATGTTACTAAAAGTTTACATTTTCGTAGCAATTTTTCCTTCTCTACAAGTTGCCGCCATCAGATTTTTGATCCGACGTTTCGTTTTCTCATAACCATCATCAAATAACACTGATGATGATTTCCAGTTTCGAAACGTTGGATGATTGTTAAGTGCAATATGTCGTTGGATAAAGAGTTTTTAAAAAAAATTGTTTTCGGCCATTTAAAAAAACGAAGTTGATGATGGCTTCTCATAGACGAAACGTCGGAACACAAATCTATTGATACCATTGAATAGAGCGGAAGAAGTGGCAATGATAATATAGAACTTATTTTGTCATATCACTCCGAATAAAGTCAAAAAAATATAAACGAAATCGCGAATATTTGTTTTTTTTTCAAATATCTTCGGAAGTATTCGGAATTTCCATACTTTTGAGGCGGCGTTTTGATCAGCATCAAATTGCGCAACTCTCCCCGTATTTAACCGACTTTGTGTCTGTTATTATTACTGAGATCCCAATGATACTCCTCGAATTTGGGACACCCCGTACATTGAAAACAACAAAATCTCTACCATGCTGATTGAATGACGAATTTTTTCAAATATTCATCTGCAACACCCATATATTTTCCAAGATCCCCATGTATATATTTGAATTTGTAACAACCAATTCTCTGAGCTTCTTGTTTGTCTCTGAAATCACTGGCATTAAATAGACGTTAGTTGAAAAAGGGGACATATGTTTATGAAATAATGTTTCATATTCAAGCATAAGTCAATTTTAAACATGTTTATAACCTAAATATCCATTCCAAAAAAAAATCCATTCCGAAAACACATTAGAAGCAATTAAGTTCTGCAATAAACAAAATATGTGATTAAGAAATGATTGACACCAAATCCAAAAAAAAAACAATAAAATCATATGGTTATGCATGAAATTTCACCTAATTATTTGTTGGAATATATTTTCTTCCATAAAGAATGATTTGGCACCATATCACAGAAATAACTAAAATTCAAATTCTTGTTCGTTAAAAAAACATTTCAGAAATTATCTACGTGTTTGTTGGAATAGATTTTTTTCCTTTGATCAACCTTGTGGAAGCAAATTTGAGCCATTCTTTTATGACATTACATAATTTGTACTCATCTATTTCTCTTGAGGGAAAAGCATACTTCACAGCATCTGTAAATAAAGTGGATAATCTATGTTAATTACAGAGTATCTGGAGTGATACGCAAAAGTACACCAGATGATTCAACAAATGAAATGAATGCCTATTGCTTTTCAAAAACAAGTAGAAGGGCACAGAATTTGATTTTAAAATGTAATTCTCGTATTGAAACATCTGTATGAAATCCATAGCTTTAGAAATGCAACTGAATAAAAAACTTGCATGCATTCATTGTTCATATACAGGGTTATTCAAATTCAATGCTCTTCATTGGGAAATTCAAGAATTTTGAAAGATGTAAAGATGGTTGAATTGGGGCAGTTGTGGACTTTCATACTCATCAATAAGTGAAGGAAAGTGAAAGTCCTTTTCGTACTATGCTTATTTGAAAAATTTATCTATCTAAAATTTTTTCATGATCCACACATTCTCAGCATTGTAATTCGACTTTTCAACTTGAACAGTAGAATGGCCGAATTCTTAAACAGCAAATATCTTTTTGAAAAGTGACAATGAGAAAGTGCACTCAGTTTTTTGTATCTCCATTAATCAAGGGTGAAAAAAAAAAAAAAAAAATTGGAATTAAAAATTTTTTCAATTCTTCTCAAATGCCTAGAAAACAAAAGACTATCATGGATTTTCTTCCACTCCATAAAAATGAGCATGAAATTGTGGAATTGCCCAAATTCAACCTTCTTTGCATCATTCATGGTTCTCGAGACTCCAATGATGAGCATTGAATTTGAAAAACCCTGTAGTAGTATTGTCTTGAAAAAATTCTATTCTAGCTCAGATTTGGAGCCTGATATTTTTCATGGTTATTTTCACACTATCTAATAGGTAATTTAATTTGGACACTGAGATAAATGCTGTCAAGAATTTCCATTGAATTGGCTATGAAAGTAATTGAAATGAAAATATTGCGTTGAATCTAAGCTCTTATTTTTTTCATAACTATTTATCTATTTTATGGAATACCTATGAATTAAAAATTCAATTTTCTATTATATTCTTATTTTCAATAAAGTGTGAAATCCCCGAAGCCATGACAAGGGTCAAGGGGAGAGAATGGCCATTGATTTTTCACCCTTCTATACATACAGATAATTGCTAAATCTGCTGAGCAAAAAATATATTCATAAAATATTGGCTAGCTGATCCAAGAAAAATGACCAAATTTCTGAAGGTACTGCAAATCTTTACCTAATATCAGCTGTTTTGTTTTGAGCTTCTCAAAAGATATTTTTTCTCTTCCCTTCCAGTTGAAGTTTCTTGCTACTTCATCAGACAGAAGATATTTCAGCATTCTTCTTGTATGGCTTTCTGTGCCAGACCCACCAAGAGTGGCTAATTTTCTTACCTAAAAACAAATTATTTACATTATACAGGGTGATTAACTTTCCTGAAGCAGGACTTCCAACAACTAATAAAATATCTTATATCAATGAAAAGTTCCTACAAACGTAATGGTCATAAAATGCTTCATTTATGAGATACAGGGGCATTGAAGTTAAAAATTGGCATTGTCACCCGATAGTAATTTTCCCGAGAATATCCAAAAAAAGATAATAAGGAGTCAGCTAATCTTTTCTTACATTCCAGGTCTTCTGAAGATGGCAACTACCAAAATATGTATAGATCTACTAAATATTTTTGTTTGTATTTGATGACATATTGCGAAAGTTTCATGATACCTATTATATAGCTATAGAGTACTGATATCTCAAAAGGAATACCCATGAGACTCCTGCATTAAATTTTTGGAGCCAAATTTGGATTTTTTGATTATCATTTTCAAAACCATTGCATCCTATCAAATTCTATTCAAATAATATTTCTTGTGATACTACTAGTTTATTTCCTCTCAGGTAAATAATTCACGAGAATATTTTGATTTTTGTTCAGCGGTTCATTAGTAATTCATAGTAAATATTTATTTTCAAATTCAAGGTCCTGTATCTTCTAAACAAAGCTTTTTACGACCCCTTTCAACTGTTCTCCCAAGAATAAGTTTTCTATGGATAGAAGAAAAACTATGGACTATGCTGTAGAAGAGAACACTAAAAACTATTATAACCTTTGGAACCAGTTAAACTGGGGAGAGCATATGTAAAAAATTCATCATTTCACATTTTATTATTTTATATCTGTGAATTTGGAAATTTTACAGATTTTACATAAAAAAGGTATGTTTCACAAGAATGCAGAAATTTTGACTCACCATGTATGTCCATAATGCTTGATCATCCCTGAGTTTCAAGTCAAATTCCTGAAAGTTCAGCAGGATTGTGAATGGAAAATCTGGTAAGTCAACAGGTGGCACTAGGTTTTCAGCTCCAGTCATACTAGTGCGTCTATTTATTTCAGCCAGCAGAATTGAATGTTGGGAAACACTGGCAGAAATTTGGCTCAATGTTTGTAGAACAACATTCTCGAATTCTAAAAAAAAACATAGACATGGAAATTAATTGGGAATAAAATCATTGATAGAAAATATAACAAGTATATATGAATTTTGGAAAACATTAGTGAATTCTGAGTAGGTATGCATATCAGCAAGTTTACCTGTGTTTTTTGCCAGAGGAATAATACTACTTCTAGCTCTGGAGCTGCAAGAAACAATGGAAGAGGGCCTTGAAGACATTTCTCCATCAGAAATAATATTATGCTGTGAGGAATGTGACAACTGAGACAATGGAATATTAATTTCATCGTCATCCAGCCGCATTCTCTTGGCACCTTCATCTTCACAAATGAATGTTGAGGGTGAATTAGTCACATCAGGAATATTTTTAGATACTTCTGGTGTGGAAAGGATATTTGGGGATAGACTCCTAGAGCAGAGTGATTCATCAGACTCATTAAGGATGCTTTTTTGGCATAATGATATATTAGAATCAGCAGATTCATAGTTGTCTGTCAAAATGTTTTTCAAATTGTTATCTGCTTGTTCATATGTTGCTGAAACAGATCAGTTGAAATCAAACTGAAACATAATTTATTGGGAACACTTACCACAGGTGAAATGACATTTCACCCTATAAGTAGGCCAGGTCTTTTTGAATGGGGTGAGGCTCTCAACAAATTTTTGGAATGGAATTTTATTGGTGCGGTTTGGCCAATAACATTTGGTTTGGTTCTTGTGTAACCACATCAATGGCACAACAGAAATTTCTCCAGTCGACTCCATGTCAGATTTCAAAAATTCCACAACGGCGAACATGATTTTACTGGTGAAAATCAGAGAATTTATAGTGGTATAGAGGAAAGGCTGCAAAACCTTCTTTATATGGCATAGTCATGCATTTGTGTGAAATGTCACATATATTAAATGTTGTTGCCTTAGATTCATTCACTTTTTTTACATAAAATATTCCTAACTTTCTTGAGTCTAGAGGATATGTATATAAATCATCATGGTATGTGAAAGGCTCACCCTCAAATACATATGTACCCTCAATACATCTGATGAATTTTAATAAATATATTTTCTTGCATTTCAACATAATGCAGTTGTTTGGTGCAAATATAGTTAAGAATGTATCATCAAATTGCAACCGTTCACAATCAAATGAAATCAGTTTCCCTTGAGCATTATAAACTGAATTATATAAATTCTTTGGTTCTGGTTTTGAAGTTGGGTTCTGATTATGGAATTCAGAATTAGTATGGTCCTGTTCCTGAATTCTCCTATGCAGTTGCTGTAATGGTTTATTTGCAGAGTGCAATTTTCTTTTGAGAGAATTCATGTAATTTTCAAATGGAAAACAGGAAAATTCATTTATTGTGCCATACATTTTCACATCATCAACCAAGTGAACCAAACTATGTACATTGAAAACAACAAAATCTCTACCAAACACATCAGCTGATTGAATGACGAATTTTTTTAAATATTCATCTGCAACACCAATATATTTATCAATCAAGTCCCTGTCAGTCAGAATAAAAATAGCACAATGTAGCAATAAAATCAACTTGTACTGAACACTATTGATAGCATTATGAAAAATCACTGGAAAGGTGTACATAATGAAGAGTTTGAATTCTGTAGCTTTCCACCTTCGAATTTCCTTAAATGTTCTACATTTTCTAGGAAAATCTGATGTTATATAATCATGTGTAATAGCTACTTTCTCTTCAATTTCATTAATGAGTTTTTGTGACAACTTAACAGTAGAAGTATCAAAATAATAATTTACTAATAACCTTTTAACTACACCCAAGAAAAGTAAGTGCATGGGGTCCAAAGGAAACTGTGTTATTAGTTTAATATCTGCTCTTAAAAGGGGACTCTTTCCTTTGATATATTCACAAGTTGGTTCATTCAAGAAGTCTTGATCCAACTTCTGATCAAACAATACGAGTTCATCTTGGGCATATATTATGCGGTGTTTTTCATAAATACCAACAATTTGACATTTTTCACATCCCAATTTTGAAGTATGACCAACAGTTTGACGTAGATAACTTCTAGCGGGAGCATCACAAATGAAGAAATGTATATCAAATGAAAATAGGTTTTCATTATAATTAATACCAGTTTGCTTCAAGGAGATGATTTCTTTCAAAAATTTATCTAAGTAAGTTGTTAAGGGGTCTGGTTTACCTTTTCCACAGAATAAAGCAATTGTAAATGGAGAATTTTCTATTAAATCTGGGCACATACCCAAAATAGGATACAACTCAGTTGAACTACTTTTAAAAAGTGGTAATCCATCAATATTAACTTGTAACAGAATAGCTTGTACATTCTTCCTAAAACCATATTTTAATTTTTTCAAAATATTATTTTCAATACCAAAATAGTGCATATTGCCATTTTTTAATTTAGTAGTTTTGGTTTGTCGAGGAGTTCTCATAAGAGTTCGATAATCTCTAGGCAGGGAAGGTAAAACAGGATTCAGTATACATAAGAGGGAAGTTATGGAATTGCGAGTTAAATTATATTCATTAACCCATTCCCTGAGCTTCTGGTTCATCTCTATAGCAACATCTGAGGCAACATGTATATTATTTTTAGAACAACTTATATGATCAAAAGTACGAATGAGCCTACTAGTACTAGGTACGTCGGAAGAGGGACTTCCAAATGAACAACATCACTAGAATTCACTGCATTTGAGGAATTAGATGGTTCACTGATTGGATTCATTTGATTTTTCCAGTGTTCAGCTTGTTTTTTTATTTTTCTTTGTAGCTGCCTCTTTCCTACTAATTTGTTCGTTAACATTGTGACTCTTGACCAAGCTCTTGACTTATTAATTATATGTCTTGAAGATTAAAGTATACGGATTATAACAGATTCCTACTTATTAAAATTGATTCCTCTTTCCTCACAACCACTAACAATTCTGTGGAAGAATGCTAAATTCTGAAGATTCCTAAAAAATTACCTATTATTACTAGTGTGTATTAGTAGTGGCGTCGGTAAAGAGTTCATATACATTTTATTATTATTAAGTACAGGGTAGGCAAAATTAGGCGTTTTCACGGGTTATCTCGATATCTAAAGGAGTTATCGAAAAACCAATATGTTCTGTCAGGTATCTGTGATATCTGTGGATATCCTTATTCTTTATGTTCTGTGTTTTATGTCACTTGTCTGTCAGTCAGTCATGTCGAAAATGTCAATGTCGTATGTTGAGATTGACCGCGCGGGGCATGGCATCTCTTGCCTTGTAATGTAATATACCAGTCAGAGTGTACCTTTGCAAGTAACTAATAATAATTATACAAGCTACTGAATTATTCTCTAGTATTATTCAACACACTACACTATTAAAGAACCCAAATAACTCCAAGATGAAGCATGGTGGCAGCGAGAAGGTGTATTGTGTGTGAATAGAAGTACGAGTTCAGGTTAGGATAACCTGTGTCTGCATCGCGGCCATAATAGAAAAGGCGCGAACAGAAAAAAGTCAGTCTTTGTTCGAGGAGAACATTCTAGTTCGTGTAGAACTAATCACATATTTAGTGATCTATCTTTAGATGTAATAAGGTCTCAGAATGCCAGATAATATCATTACAACCGCAGATCGACCAGCAGTGGTGAATGTCCCAGTACAGGTTAGACCGCCAGAAAAATTCAGTTTTGCTACACCTAGTGCATGGCCCCAGTGGCGTAAACGCTTCGAAAGATACATGTCTGTGTCAGGCCAAGACAACAAATCAGATGAAGCGAAAGTTAATATTCTGGTTCATATAATGGGGGAAGAGTCAGAAGATATTCTCCTACAATTTTCAACAGCACCCACTACATATGCAGAAACCCTACAGTGTTTTGAGAATCATTTCATCCCCAGGAGAAATGTCATATTCGAAAGATTTAAATTCAATTCAAGGGTTCAACACCCAGGTGAACCAATCGAAAGTTTCATAACAAGCTTACACTCCCTTGCAGAAAACTGTGATTATGGCCAGCTCAAGGAGGAGATGATCAGAGATAGGATAGTTGTAGGAATGCTAGATTCTAAAACTAGTGAGAGAATGCAACTTCAAACTAAGCTAAATCTCAGTGAATGTGTTATGACAGCCAAACAAGCTGAAATTCAAGCTACTCAAAGTAGAGAGCTCCATAATAGCAGCTCACGTCAGGTGGGGAAAGTCAGCATTGCACCACAGGGAAGTCACTATCGTGCTAGTGAATCAAGTATAGCCAGTACTTCAAGACCTTATTCATGGAAGGAGAAGGAATTCAAAGGGAATAAGAAAATTGGATTTGCACCCAAGGAAAAGTCTTGCATTTTTTGTGGTCTTCAGTACCACATTAGAGAAAATTGTCCAGCTAATAAATCAGTATGCAAAAAGTGCAAGAAGAATGGGCATTGGGCAAGTGTTTGCAGAAGTTCTCAGGTGAGATCAGTACAATTTGATTATAATGAAGAAGTTCCTGAACAAGAAGATGCAGATTTTCTTGGCTCCATCTCTTTGAATCATGTAGACACAAAAGAATGGACTTCAACTATCTTTGTGTCCAAACTGAATAAAGTTGTAACATTTTTAGTAGATACTGGAGCAGATGTATCTTGCATTCCAGAAAGTATGCTTAGTAATGATCTTTTACAGCAATTGATTTATACAGATAGAAGTATTACAGGTCCGTCTGGTATTAAACTGGTTGTGTCAGGTATTTTGTCAGTAGACTTGATTTTGAACAAAATTCATTTCAGTACTGATATCTACATTATAAAAGATTTAACCAAACCTCTACTTGGCAGAACAGCTATTTCAAAACTGAACATCCTTCAGTTTGGTAATAATACTATAAATCGCATTGAGGATTCAACCTTTGCTGATAGTATTAGGCAAAAGTATCCAAGAGTTTTTAGTAATATAGGATCGTTCAAAACCGAAATGGAAATAAAAACTATAAATAATGTACAGCCTTATGTAGGGTAAAGTGGGGGAATCCCGGCCCCTTAAGCATTTCTCGATGTAGCGATGATGATTATTGGTTTTTATTAACGATAGATACATCAAGTTAAAGCTCAGATATCATAAAAACAGAATATATTCTCGTTTCCAATGAATACATAAAATTATGAAATTTATAACAATAAAAACAAAAAGTCGTTTTGGCCGGCATTACCCGCACCTTGGGGGTAAATACGGCCAGAGGCTGGTTTTACCCCAGATGAAGAAATTAAATTACTTCTTTGGCAGAAATCGCAAATTAAATTCTTGCTTCCTTTTCTGCCGGTACTATAAGCTGTGAGCCCATCCTGTGCACATCACAAACCTCAACTAGAGCTCACGATTTTTCCCGAACTCCCTACTATGCTCCACTTATTCCGTTTCTTGAACCTTTTTTTTAAGTTCTGGTTCCCACGAAAAGGGATATCCTGTGATGTTCAGAGAACATCGTGAGAACCAACGGAAATAAGGTAGGAATTGGTGTTCTTCTTAAATATCTGGAGGTTATATGCCTCGGGGAAAACCTCACTTGGCAATGTGTTCCGGAACCTCGCTGTTCGTTGGATGAACGAGTCTTTGGAGAGAGATGTTCTGCAGGTCTCCAAAGTGACCACGAAGGGGTACGAATAAGCCCCAACTCGACGGGTTAATCTCGCGGGGACTGCCAAGTGAGGAACAATCGTTGATATTTCAGAAAAGCATCGTCCATGAAAATATCTATAAAATAGAGCCAGATCACCAATTTTTCTACGGTGTTCCAGAGAAGTGAGTGAGTTTGTGAGAGAGGCATCACCCACGAGACGAATTGAACTTTTTTGGACAGAATCCAACAGTTTTCCAGGACAGGTCGAATCTGTGCCTTATAGATCATAATCAGCTAACTGGAAGTGAAATAGCTCCTGGCTCGAAACAGAAAAGTTTTTGGGATGCACTCTTAGCAATTATGATCTCATGTGATTTTCACAGAAAAAAACTGGTGAACGTCCAAGCTTCGGTTTTGAAAAATTGTGGTTTCTCTGTCTATCTTGTAGAGTCGCTCTTGGAATACCAAATCTTCTTGCAACCTCGTTCAAAGCATTCATAGCAGCTTGCAAACTTTCTGTAGGTAGTTCAAGGAGCTTTCTTAGTTTTCCTCACGTATTTCCGCGGCATCTGAAAATAATGATAATATGTTGAATTTGATTTCCTCAGGGGTAATGCCGGCCAGGCTGCTATTACCCGCAAGAGCATGGCCGGGATTCCCCCATATGCGTTGTTCAAGTGAAACTCTTTTTTCAAAAATATATGTGAGGTTATTGTTGATGAACAGCAATATCATGATATATCTAGCTCTCCTAAGTCTATGAATAT